TATATATAACTACCGCATCACCGGGTCGCGGTGTGCGACTGTGCCTGCCGGTAGGCATTCAAGGAGGATGTTTTCGGGGCGGGGGGCGTTTCATAGCGAGGTTTTCGTTGATATAAGTGCTATTCAACTTCAAGTCAATGCATATTTGTCGCAGGCATATTCGCCAGAGTCTGATCAAGTCAGGCGGAGTCACGCTACTACATCTTTAAGATAGTGTAATGTCTATTGGGATGTCATTGTCTAAGTCCTGGTTAATGTCAAACAGGGGGTGTATGTGGTGGTTTGGGAGTTTGCGTGTCCAGTGCTGGGGTGCCGCTATATAGGCACTAGCCTCTGGATGTAGTGTGTTGAAATCCATTTGCGGATTATCTAGCCATAGTGTTCTGTGGGCTTGTTCGAAGCGACGTTTGCGTTCTATCGAAGGCCAGATATAATCGTTTTGTGGGTGTTCAGAGTCTATGAGGAGGGTGTGTACTATTGTGGTCATGGTCCAAATTAGAGTTCGCGAGCCGCTTGTCGATGTAGCGCGCTTTCCTTTTTGTTTGGCTTTCTATTTGTGTATGCTTGTTTCAGTTTCCTGTATGTTATGAACGGAGGGTAGTGAAGTATGTTCTCGCGAGCGAGCATAGTGAGTCTCATAGGGGTGAATATGGTTGCTTGTTTGCCCAGATATTCCTGTAAAGGATTTCTGTCTGACATACGAGTTATATGATTTATAAGACTCACGCACTGCCAAGTGCATAATACTCGTGCGTTGAGGAGTCCACAGAACTGAATTTGTTTCAGCATAGTTGGTGTGGCTTTTGTTGGGGTATTTTTGTGTGCGGCAGTGGAAAGGATATATCCAGAGGCTTTATGAATTACGGTATCGAGCTTGTCGAGTTGTGTATTGATTTGTGATGTGAGCGATTAGTGTGATAGTGGAATAAAAGCCAGACCGTAAGTGATTTTCGAAAGTATAAATACTCGGAAGATCATGAGCTTGCTGTGTGGGTGTAGGTGGGTCCCTGCTCGGAAGCCAAGGGGACCGCTGTGGCTTATTGATTCATTCAGGGTGTTTATACGTGTTTCCAACATTTTTACGACGTCTATTCCTTTGGGTCCCATAGGGAATCCCAAGTATCTAGCAGTGGGGTGGGCATCGATACTATTCAGACCGAGCATGAACTTGTGGGCTAGTTTTAGATTTTGCGGGGCTACATATATTGATTTCTTTGGGTGGAATTCTACACCGGAGCATTTGCCCCATACATAAGCATGGTTGAGGCCTAGCTGTAATTTGTGGTGATCGCGGTTGTACAATGATAGGTCGTCGACCCAGCCGAGAAAGCCTCGGGGGTCGACTTTGGCAAGGCTATCAAGTAGCGGGTCAATGTATATGTTGAAGAGTGTGGGGGTGATTGGGTCTCCTTGAGTTAAACCATGAGCAGGAAACTCAAACAAGCATACACAAATAAAAAACCAAACAAAAAGGAAGGCGCACTGCATCGACAAGCGGCTCGCGAACTCCGATTTGGACTCATCTACCCAGGCGAGGAAGAACGATACCGATTCGACACGCCGCTGGAACATCACAGCTTCAGCAGTCTCTTATTCAGAGTCCCCACGATAGTCGCACTGTACGTCACGAACAGGTATATTTTCACGCTAGAAAAGACCCCGGCAGGTCTCACATGCATTGGCTGCAGCAAAACGCCTTTCACCACATCACACTTCACATGCCCACTAGTGTTACCCTACGTGTCGAAGCTCATCTCGCCACAGAAAGAAATAGTAGTTAATAATAACCTACTAGACGCTCTGAGCACCCGCAAACGCTACACCGACATGCTCACACTACACGATCAATTAGTGTATCTACACAAAGGACCCATAGAGCCTCAAATGCTATTGAACTCTATATTCCCAGTACCATGGCTCATGACCACAATAGTACACACACTACTCGTAGACTCTGAACACCCACAAAACGAGTATACGTGGCCGTCATTGGAACGTAGACAACGCTTTGAACAAGCAAACAGAATACTATGGATAGACAATCCGCGAATGGACTTCAATACACTTCACCCACAGGCTAGTGCCTATATAGCGGCACCTCAGTTCTGGACACGCAAACTCCCGAGCCATCACATACACCCCCTGTTCGATATAGATCAGGACTTGGACAATCACATCCCCATAGACATTACACTCTCATACATTTGTAGTAGCGTATCCCCACCTGATTTGATCGGACGCTGGCGAATATGCCTGCGACAGATATGCGTTGACTTGAAGTTGAATAGCTCATATATTAACATACACTCCGCTATGAAACACCCTCCGCCCCGAACTCATCTACCTTGAATGCCCACCGGCAGACACAGTCGTACACCACGACCCGGTGATGCGGTAGTGAGTATGATACACTGGTGAGCCACTGTATCATACCTCATATTCAATGAAACGATATGCATATCTATCACAGCTGACTCACAGAATCTTCATCAAGTCAGGTACGGTTATCAAAACCTACATGACTCACAACTAGATTACCACACCGAAAGAAAACAACCCAAAAAGTACAACAACCACAGACAGCAAAAGACTCAGCCCCTCGATAGTCCAGTTCGCCCTCCCCTGAAAAGCAGGGTCACGGGAACTGCCAACACCTGCCGGTAGCCACAAGTCCACCCCGGACATCAGGCATTGTATGTATATAGCAATAGCGTGTAAACAAATAAAGATACCTAAACCCCTAAATTCTAAAACGCAATATCGTCCTTATCTGTTATCAGACCACAACGTTCGTCTGTCACGCCGCCTGAATTTCCATTGTCTTCGCCCCATTGATCCCCGCATTCTACATTTAAATCGGCGCATGCCACGTCCTGGCAACTTGGGCCACGGTCATCATTCATCTTGGATGAATCGCAGACCCATGCCTTCTCCTCTGCTGTTGGTACGAGGGGCACATTTCCACCCGAGTCACCTGAACCACTGGTCGAACCACCATCATCATCTATATTATTATCGCTAACATCGTCTGAATTGGAGTTGATCGATTTTTTAGCACATGTACAATTCTTACCCTTCTTTCTATCACTGTCGTCGTCATCGTCATCGTCATCATCATCATCATCGTCATCATCATCTTTATCTTCATCTTCATCATCTTCATCATCTTCATCATCGTCGTCGTCGTCGTTTGCGCGTGTGTTTTTATCATGTGCTACGATTTGGTGTCGCAAACGATGGCTATGAATCGCAACCCGTATGCATGCGACAACAATAAACGTTGCCAATATAGCAATAATTATCGCATATTTGACAAGCATTTTAGATATATGTTACATTTTAGACGTGCACAAAAAAAATAGACTCGTGTATATTAATCACGGCCGTGGTCCTTGATCTTCTATGCTCAATTCACGACAAGCAAAATAGTTTGAGGGGTCTCGTGAACGAGGGACCACCTGGCAGTCAACAATTGCAACGCGTGTGTTATCATACCACTTGTGAAATATGAAGTCCAGAAAAAGTATGTTTCGTTCCACAATACACTCGTCTTTCCGCATATTGTTGTGATAATGTTCTACGCCCGGGGGGATCCGGAAGCGCAGAATGCAGCAAACTGATCCTCTGATAAAACGCGCCGCGTGCTGAATGTCGGGCGAGCACGATAAGAACCCCGGCTCATTCAGGTGAAAGCCTGCGAGGGGGCCGTCAACCGGTCAATCGTTTTTTATTCTTTCTTCTTTTTTCTTCTTCTTCCAAAAATCTGTTAGACATGCGAGTGCACCCCGTACTGCGTTCCCCGCGGAAGCGATTTTGTTTTTGTTTTTGTTTTTGTGTATTTCGATGCAAGCCACGGCCACTGCGGTGGATATTCACCAATGTCTTCCAGGACGCGCTGCTTGATCACTGCGCCCAACGTGTTGACGTCCGCACCTCGTTCATCGTACAGCGCGTCCTGCAACTGCAGCTGGTAGTCCGTGTATTCGTCCATAAACTTGCTCTTGCAATCTTCCGCCAGTATCACATCCAAGTTCTCGACTCCGAGCACCTAGAAACAAAAGTTGCCACAGGTAGGCGCCAGCCTCAGCTTGTGCTGTGCGCGTTGCAGCCGAAATATTTGAAGTGGCACACTGGCGCTGCTCGTCAGATACATACTCCGGCGAAGTTCATACGGGACGTCCGCGTCAAGGATGGCCAGCACATCCGCCACACTGCCCCACGGGTGTGTCGCGCACTCTATCACATCCGCGTCAGTTAATCCCATGTACGCCTGCTCCGCACACGCAAGCTCGTACCTTTCCACATTTCTCGACATATAGAGCTCTTCGACCGCCCCCGCAATGTAGTCGCGAACCACATCGATGCCCTTGTCGATTGCAAACCCAAAGTTTGGATCCGCGTACACTGCCGCATACAACCTAACACTTTCGGGCGTTTCTAGCACAATACCCTGGGACTCTGCCAGCGTGTGCAGCCCCGTCCATTCACCCAAAACGTCCAGTGTGCTGGTGGGGGACGTGATGCAGAACTCCTCAACAAACGCAAAGGGCCAGTGTTGCTAGGCACCCAACCGGGCCGCCAGGTCCGGTGGCCACAGGGTGTTGGCGCTGGCGAGTAGCAGGCGCAGCACCGGTGGTTCCGCGACATTCGCGGTGGTGTGTGCGTCACATCCCAAAACACCCACCAGGGAAATCGCTGCGTCAAAGTGACCATCCGTGCACTCGCATTCGGTCAGCTGGGCATGCCGGATAAGCCGGAGGGCACACAGCAGCTTGTCGATTTCGTGGGCGTCGTTCTCGTACACGAACGGCCACAGTTTCGTGGGGCCGGCCTCGCCTTCGACCATTCCCAACCTTACACGGCGATCCGCCAGGCCGTCAAAGTCCAGGATAATTTCCAGTCGTGCAAATGCACCCACCACAGCCGCAGGTACGAGTTCGCGCCAACGGGGCTGTCGTGATAGCCAGATCGACCTTGTGGACGTAAAGGCACCGCCGGTGATTTCGTCGACGAGTCGACAGCCGATCGCGTCAACGTATTTCTGGTACTCGCCGTAGGCGACGGTTGACATTTCCAGGTCGGGGAACTCGACTCTCAGCCGTACCATGCCCGCGATGGCCTTGACCGTGCTGCGGCGGGGTGACACCGTTCCCCTTTCTCTAAATCCCTTCAGGAAGGGGTGGTCAAGTGGAATCTCGGGCCACTCGGCGACCAGTAGCGCGTCGCGCTGAGCAACAGTCAGCTTTTTGAGTTGGTCGGCGTCCAAGGTGGCAGTTTCAGGGTTCGAATTAACCTTGAGGATTTCGAGTACAAACAGTTCTCTCTTGGTGCGTTTATCGCGGATGTACTGGACATGCTGCTGCTGTTGTACAGACTGCGTGTGCAGCACTTGCGTAGCCCCACGCACGTACTCCCAGTCGCCGTATTGCTGCAAGTATCTCTCGAGAAGATCGCGCATACTGTACCGCCTTGTGACGCCGATGGACCGGTAGCCCCGTGCACCCTTGTCGAACAAGGTTGTGAATGTCGGCACGTCCGCAAGGTCCACAGGTTGAGGCAGTATATCAACCACATCCTCCCACAAGACGGTCTGCTCATTCAATCTCTCGGGCAGGTCGTAAAACTCCTGCATTGCGGCGCGCAGGTGCGACTTGCACTCTGATCGAAGTGTGCAGCAGTACTTGAGACGTGAGTCTGCGAACCACATGGTGGCGGGCTAGTTGGTCAGGAGCGTCTGACGGCAGTTCACACAGTATGTTTCGAGCCACGCCAGCACCCCGGCCGAGTCTAGCGTAGGGTTGTCGCATCCCGTGAATGAAGCCTGTAAACCGGGCAAGGCCTTGGCAATCCGCACATGTCCATGTACATCGCCCACCAGGTGCAATTTCATGGCGTACCACAACGGAATCTTTTCCAGAAACACGTTCAAGAGTTCAGCGGGAAGATTGGGGAGCTTGAAATTGCGTTCGGGCTGCCCAACCCAGACGGATGCGAAGACGACAATGTCGACAACCGTGCTGCAGCCCAGGTAGTCCCGGGCTATAATGTTGGCCTCGGTGAAGGGTTTTTTGTCCGTCAAATCAACCAGTCGCACGGGTGTTTCGGACAAGTCCAATTCCAGATCATTAATAAAATCCAGGTTGCTCGCAGTCAGCATGTCGACAAGCGTGGGATACTTGTACACTTGAGCCATCGGTAGTGTGCACATCTTGTGGTTGATGGTGATAGTAAGCGCCATCTTGCGGATTATAGGGTTTAGGTGGGTTTTTTATGGGAGGAAGGATCACCGGAAAGGCGTGTTTCGTGGCCACCCCCTAACAGAATTTTTTATATATAGTATTTAAGCGTTTTAGAGATGTGTATATCAGCTCACAATTACATCTTTTTGATTTTTTTTTCTTTCCTTACACCATGGGGGACTCTACCTTTGTTTCAAGTCTAAAAAAGACAATTGCTGGACTAGCCTGTCCTATACTGTCAAGGGACCAATTTACAGGAGACTCGTGTACGGAGGCGGTTCAGATGGCGCGCCAGGCGCTCAAGGACAATGGCGTACTAATTATCCGAGGGTGTAATACGCGCGCAGCTTGTGCGGCCGGGCAAGAGGCTGCGTACCGCGCATGGGAGCGCGACATTAAGCCGAGCATTGATACGGCGGCCCATGGGGCAAAGGTTGATGCGGCCAAGACCATCTACGATGTACAGGAGGCTCAGCAAAAGGTGCTGTGGCCCACGGGAGTTGTCGGCAACAAGGGATTTGGATTTCTGTATGCGCAGCCAGAAGCCAAGGCAGACTATCATGCAACTAAACTGGGGGACTTGGACCATCCGGACAGCGAACTGACCACGGCCATCCTGTTCCAGGTCACGAGAAATGTGGGTGGTATGATGTCTCAGAATTCGTTCAAGACTTTTCGGGGTGTCATGCCTGTGCCTCACGTAGACAACTATCCCACCTCGGAATCATTTAATCGTGTGCAGGCCATGGTCATTGGATACAGGGAGGGCGATGTACGCCTGATGTTTGGGCGGACCACGCACCAGCCAGACATCTCAGCCTTGTACCGGAACAAGTCCACGGCAGGCTTTACCTCACTGTCGAACCCTGACGCCATAGTGGATGTGCTGGAGGCGGCGGATGCCATTGTAATCCCCGAGCCCGGCGACATTGTGTGCTGGACCGCTGGTGTGGTGCACTTTGAGATGAACATTAACCAAGGGTAAGTTTAAACCCACACGAGGCCATGTGCAGGAACGCTACGTTGTGGGGACGCACAATCCAAGCGGCAGCCTGACGCAGACGCAGCTGGAAACGCTGTCTGGAATGGCCGAGTCTGGGTTTATCCTGCATCCATACGTTGGACCAAAGAGCCAGTTTGGGCCTGCAAATGCAAATACCTTTCACCGCAAGACCACACAGTTCTACCGCCGCAGAGTCCAGCCGCGGTGTGAGAAGAAGCGGTTTGCTGCGGCAACCAAGAGTTGCCAGGCCAAGGTGCACAAGCTGACTGATCGACGCCGGCAACTATACGGTCTCCAGGTCAAGAACCCTGGTTGTCTGTTTGTGGACCCTCTCGCCCAGCGGGTGTATACTGTCATTGTTTAATAATAATAATAGATCACATTTTTATACTAGTACGTGCGATGCAACTTACCCACTCTTGACCTAGTCACCTAAATCTGGCGTCTCGACAGAGCCCCAACGCCGACAACTGTACGGTCTCCAGGTCAAGAATCCCAGTTGTCTGTTTGTGGACCCACTTGCCCAGCGGGTGTCTATAATAAAACTTTTTTACATGCGATACTTGTGCTTAACGCAATAACCCTGCTGTTTCAGTGCCGTTAAAAGAAACGAACGCGTCCTCATAAAGAAAAATAATGACCTTTTCGCCGTTCGAAATGCTGGGAATCCTCTCGAGGCATATGTGGACAGTGGATGAACGGAAGGCCATGCACATGTGGACGTGGTACGGGGGCAGTGTTATCATACCCACGCTTGATGCGAATTTTGAGGTGAGAGAATACATTGACGACCTTGACGTAACTGACATGTCCGACATCGATGTTGTAAGGTCTGCTCGTTGGAAAATTTCCAGGGCGCTTGACACAATGTGGTTCCGAGCGCCATCACTCGGCGAGGATATTACAGTATACCGCTTCACAAAAAAACCGGAAGAGTACGACCATGCGCCGACGTTTTCGTTCAAGTCGTTCACATTGGCTTTCGAGCCCATACATTTCGAGCAGTTTCTCGATTCGAACAAGCGGTGTTGTCTTATGTCACTGACGATACCGGCCGGAACTCCAATTTTGGTTGATGCACTGTACGGCAATTTGTCAGAAGTTATTTTTCCCCGGGGGACAATCTTTCACCACGAACACGAAGAAGAATATCAGGGATTTGCAATGCGGGTATACAGTGCAGAGTTTCCAGACGCATTATTACTGAAGAAGGTTGAATCACTAAGGAGGCGTCCACATGTTTACTACCATGATTTTAATCTGGCAACGGACCAGCAACACTTTAAATGGTCTCAAGGCGATCCGGATGCCATTTCGAGATACAACGATCGAATCGGAGTTCAGGAAAAAAAATGGAATGGCACTCGAGTTTTTTTTTTTTTGGGGAGGGGGGGGGGGTTATTGTGCTAGTCTAGCAAACGACACCTGAATCTAGATACTCGTGTCGCAAGCGTATCTTTCGGCCCCGTGTCTCTCACAAAGTACAGCCCCACCTTCGGCTTCAGGTAGCTGCCGCTGGCAATGGCCATGTCTTTTTGAGCGGCGGCTTGACGGCCGCCAGTGGGTCCGCTCCCGAGTGACCTAGAGACTTTACAGAGAATTCCAGCGATGGAGCCGTCTTACTGAACCTTGCCGTGATCATGTACATGTACCACTTGTCAAAGTGTTCCTTGACTTTGAACAAGTCAATGTTGTCGAACACGCCCCCAGGAGAGTGGAACTGCGCCACCATGTTCTTGTTGACCGTCAGCACGGCGATCAGCCCGTTGTTAAACACCTGGTAAAGGTGCAGCGAGCTGCCCTCGGTGTCCATGGGGGGCACGATCTTCAGCGCAAACGTGTACTGGATTGTGCGATCGTTGACCTTGAGCGACGCGGCGCTAGGCCCATCGGGCAGTCTCGTGAGCTCGTTGCGCGGCCTCTGAGAGTCTCCGGCGCCGTTGGAGTCGTTGGTGTGCAGCGTAAACTCCATCACTTGTTTGTTGAGCTGCGAGTCCAGCACACTCGCATAGTGATCGAAGTCGTGCGTCTGTTCGGAGGCCGACAGCACAAGACTGCAGTCTGTGTCGGTATTTTTAGGCGTATCCTCCTCGGTCGTAGTCGTGGTGTTTGTGGCCGTACCATCATCCTCGCTCGTGGTCGTTGTATTAGTACCACCAAAAACACTAGGGACAACAACGGTAGTGGCGCTGCTGGAGCTAGATCCCCCCCCCCCCCCAAAATAGAATCCCAGAAATACCAGTCCGGCAGTCATTTATGCCTTGAAAAAAAGACAAAACATTTATTTATTAGATTTCACCTGGAACACACGTCGACCCTGGGTGTACCCGACTCGTGGGTGGTTCACCGATCGGACCTCACCGGTCAACCACACGTTACGATTGTCGCGTCTGGGTATATAAGGATAGGGTGCAGTCGTCAAACGGACAGTCTCAATTTTATTCTTGTTACTTGCACCCTGAGAATGATGACGTCCAACAACGGTAGTGGCAGCAACCACGGTGGGTTTGGGAACGGGTTCACGTCGTACATTGATCTCACGGGCTCCGAACCAATAACGAGGATGGTACGGCACGAACAAGGAACGACGTCTGACGAACCCGACATGCCCACACCCCAAAGTCGCAAATCGCACCCGATCGTTGTTCACCGCTACCGGCTTCGCCCACGATGCGTCTGTCGTGTGTGCCATAGTAGCGGGACGTAACATATATGTTGTCAACGTGGACCCCGATCGTGAGTTCATCAGCGAGGCAATGCACGATCCGTTTAAAATACTCTCATTGTCCGCGTGCCAGTCGAGTTTGCATTTCGCAGTGGGATACAATACTCCGTGGACTAGAATCTGGGAGCGATCGGCCCCTATAATCTCTGCGACGCGTGTCACAAGACCTACTACAGCTTCCGGAATCGGTGTACACTTGACGCGCTTGTCGGAGAACGCATACTCGGGAATGGCATTGGACCAGTCGGCCACGAAGCGACCGTTGTTGGTGTAGTGCTTGCCAAACAAGACTGTGTGATCCGGCACCGCGGTGGCAAGGAGTGTGGTTCGAACCACGGAGCTCCACATGCCGAGTGTAGAGTCACTAATTAGAGCCACACGCTGCGCAGAAGTAGATGGTATGATTGCAACGTCAAGCGCTTTAGCGTTCAATATTGTGGGTCCAGGTGTTGTTGTCTGCTACTACGCGAAACGACAGATTAATCCTCCACCCCTTGGATTCGGAGATGCTGGCACACGGTGCTTGGTCACCTTTTGGAATGTTTTGTTCTCAAGTAGTCCATCTTTGGTCGTTGTGTACATCACACACAGATCTCCGTGGCCAAGGATGAATTCATGTACGTTGAAGGCACCTTTGTACTTGTACATTATGATGATGGTGTGTGCGTGTGTGTGTGCGCGCGTGTGTGTGTGAGTGAGTGTGATATTATATATCCCCCAAAAAAAAAGTTCCTTCACATACCCACACGACAGGGCTGAATGATGAAGGGGCTTTATTTTATAATTTTTTTTATCGTCAACATTTTTCCTATAAAAGCGATCGCCTTTCCGATTTTTATTTCACTTCCCATTAATCCAAAAATCAAAAATCAATTTACTAATCATGAGTACTTCTCAACTTCTCAGCTTCGTCCGAACAAACCCCGGCGTGTATCCAGTCAAGGAGATGGTCATTGTGATTTCGACCGTTTTTCTCAACGAGTATCTTGACTGCGATGCCATGGAAGATCGATGCATCCAGACCGATTCTCTGTCCCAGTACCAAGGTGAAGAAACGGAGCAAGTCCCCCTCATCGCGTGGCTGTTGGAGTTCCTGGGTTATGAGCCGAGTTTCAAGACCATTCCCGACTTGGAAGTGAAAAGGAACCTTGAAAGATTTTTATTGGACAACGATATCAAAGAAATCCCGGTTGCCATGACTTTGCTTTATACCCTACAAAAAAACCCAGATTAAGACTGGTGTCTAGTTTTTACAATACGTGCCGCGAGTGCAATGCAAAGATTGACACGCGAAATGCGGCCCTGAGGGCAGCGGAACTGAAAAAGAGCCAACAGCCCCGCCAGTGGATTGCACGTCCCCTGAAGCCGCATCAACGCGTGAACAAAAATGTCATGTAGTATTGAATAAAAATAAAGTTGAAATCAACAATAATGATGAGTTAACAATAATGATATGTAGCCGGAATTGGTGGCGTTGATTACGTACGCGGGTCTTAATGGGGGAAATCTCAAATCTGTATTCCGCCGTACTCGACAAACTAGGGTCGAACACTGCATATATGTTTTTAGATATTGAAGTGTATTACCACGACTATGTGGAGAAGAGTGTCGAGGTGGACACGCTGTGCTAGACGCTGAAGACGCTGGCGAACAGGCTGAAATCGGCCCCGGGAAATGTCGTACTGACGTACATCGCAAATACCGACCAACTGGTCCGCACCAAGCAACCTTGGCAGAGGCGGTGGAAATTGGACTAGGTATTTTGTAGCATAACGAATGCGATTGATCCCACACACGTTGGTGTGCTCGTGAGCTACGGATTCACACCCTGTACCACCGATGTGGGGATTTACTCGAGCGGTGACACCGTGCTCCGATTCCGTATACCCAGTGACGTTTCGTACTTTGATCAGGGCCAAGAAATCGTCGTACAGCGAAACGCTGCTTTTGCAGACTTTTCACCCGCCGTTGACAAGTCGGGGGTCAGCATTATCACCTGCAGACTAAAACTACTTCGTGATTATTTAAAAAAAAAATTATCCAGGGTTCACGTGTGTTCCTGGTGATATCTAATAAATAAATAAAAAGGTATTCAGCCGAATCGACGTCGTTTAGGTGGCGACACGGCATCGTCATCCCGGTTCCGTTTCCGAGTATGGTTTGACGGTGGGGCCGACTCCACACCTCGTAGTTTAGGCGGTGATACAACATTGCGTTTCAGAGCGTCGGCTCGTCGCCAACATCCACCCTTTTCCGAATCCGGTCATCGTACTCGTTCGACAGTATATCGAGTGCCACGCGACAACTAAACGTCCTGCATTTCACGGCCACTCTGTCCGGGATTGTAGTTGCCAGACGTCTGTCCTGCAGTGCGATTAAAAGTTCGTCCATGAATCCGAGAGATCTTGCACTGGTTGGAATGACACCCCTCCCCTTCAGAGCGAGGACGCCGTACGAGTCAAATGCCCACGCCTTTTTGCGTACAATCAAAAAAAGCTCCACCTTGATATCGGCAAATGTCATGTAACCACCGTCGCCGATAAATCGTTCAACCAACGACGGCAAATCTTCAAATTGGGGCGGGAATATCCATCTGTTTGCAGGCACTTTCCACCGATAATCGACCAGGTAATCCACAAACAAATCCACAAACAGGGGGTCGATGGGCAACATATTGTTACGCATGAACACGGCAGCCGTTGGTAAATGTAGAGAATATATAGTTTGCTCGTATTCTTCTCGGAACAGGTTTGTGTCAATGTTTGGAAACCGCAGCATGACCTGCTCGAGATATTCGGCGTCATAAGTTAGCCTCGCTCCCATTAGGGATTTCTGTGTGTCTAGGTACGGAAGTACAAGTTTTGCTAAGGCCGGGCTTCCGTGCGAGAACGCATACTCGAGTTTGTCATACAGGTGAATGTGTGGCCGCATTGCCCGTACAAAGTCGGCGTCAAACTGTTGAAATGCCATTGTGACTAGTTTGCGTATATACTTTTCTTCAGTCAGATTGCGTAGGATACAGGGGATCATATCCAGGCGAGTGTGTATGTCACTGAAATCGAGCCTACATTTCGCAACAGACGGATGGTGCAAGAACGCATTTATGATCTCAACCGTCCCGTACTTAAAACATGGTAATAGCAAATCTATTAGACATGCGATGATCTCTACAATGTATGACGCAATCAATAATATGCCAGTAGATAGTCACATCTTTGAGCACCATAACGAAAGAGAAGCCGTTCTTTAGAGGTTAAATCGGATAAATAAAACGTGCGATATCATGGTTTTCGACCGGGGGTATTACTCCAAAAATCTTATGGAGTACCTTGATCAGTGTGGTTATATGTACGTGTGTCGTTTGAAAAATAACAGTCAATATCCCTATATGAGACGTGGTCATACGTTGTCCAGGTTTGACATTGGCAACTCGACGTTTACTCTGCTCTCAAATGTTTCATTGGACCGAGAGGTAATAAAAACTTTTATAAAAAACGCTGGAGCGTCGAATCATATTTCAAGGTTTTGAAATCAGATTGGGGTTCTTCCAAGTTTGCGACATTTGGAGTAACTGCAATCCAGAAAGAGTTACTCTTTCGCGAAATTGGTCTTATGTCAGTACATAGCAATCTGATTTCACGTGACCAAAAGGTATTCGCGAACTTCCACTTTGAGAGCATAAAATTCATGCTGAGTTTTATTCCATCAGTCCATAGTGTAGACTCCGTCCAATTAAAATCGGAATTAGGTAGACTCCAGCGCCATGGATAAAGGAGGCCAGTGTGCTGTAATGGAACGCTCTATTACTGCACCGCGTACTTGGCTGGATTGTGAAGACGAAGGCTGTTAAAGTACAACAATCCGTGCCTGGGACTAAGTGCACAGTTTTATTGAACCTGAATACCTATGGACTCTATACAAAAACGTTCTCTATGCGCCCGTACTGACAGAGTCGAGATGGGACTTGGACCAAGTATCATTCGGACCTGAAGATGAAGCTGGACAAGAGCTCTGCCGCCGAGTATCTTGTGCGCCGGTACTTGTCCGAGGCAGACCAGTTATCTCTGATTATTGACGAGTATCACCGCCCCGCCCTTGTCCAATTCTCCGCTGGTGCCGAGGAGGGTGCTCAACCGACGGTTGGGGACCAGATCCAGTTCCAGTCAACCCTCCACATGGCTTTGTGGTTATTAGATGTCGCCCCGGATAGCCCAGTGTATCACTCTGTAATTACTCGGTATCTCGCTGCACCCAAGTACCACCGCAGCTCTACTTGGATTCTTGGTGTCGACGTGGTACCTGAGGAACGAAAGGAAATAGTGTTTGTTAGCAATGTTCAAACTCTCAAGTTGACTGTGCCGTCGAGTCAAACTAGGGATGAGATGATCCAGCGAATGCTGCCGACCGCGAATGATCCAAGGTCGCTGCCGATTGTTTTTAAACTTGATTCCGCCGGCTGCTACAGGGGTAGAATTGCTATTCCTGGATACATTAGCAAACCACCAGTCGTACCCGAGATCCGTAATCACTCTACAAAACCAGCCCTGATATTTGAGTTGCTAGAACAGGCGGACCCTGTTTTTGAGACGGCGATAGTCCACTCTGCCAAGGTTTATGTCGGCAAGCGCGAAACTGAGCCACGTCGCCTTCCACCAAGGAGCAATGTATCCTCATCCGATATAAGGACATTTGAAGCCAACATATTTTCCGTCACTGGCGAAGAGATTGTCTCCTCACTCCGTGCGTTTGGGCAGGTTCTGCACGACACCATAGATACGGTTACCCGTGACTTCCGCGACCGATTTGATTTTTCCGAGTATTGTACCTTGCTGGACATTTGTCGGGGTGATGGACAGTGGGTCGCGATTGTAAACTCGTTGTGTGACAAGAGTCATAAACGTAAATATGATGATGCTCTATATAGACGGATGGCACAATACGCAACAAGGAACGACCCAAATGGTTTCTGCAAGTTTGTGGACTCGGCCTCCAGTATCTACATTGAACGCCGCGTCGACGTGTGGGCTGCTTTACTAGGTCTTGACCAGGACAATCCAACCAAGGCAGACTTATTTCGGGCTGTGAAGACCATGAGGCCTCCTGAGGATGAAAAGGACGATCCGGGTGAAACTAAGATCAAGATCAAAAAGGGCAAGCGACGTGTGGGTCCAAAGTTAGCGGCGACCATACCGGTGGCGACGGATCTTACGTACAACAATGAGATTTTCACTCTGAATTTCCGGGGCAAGCAGATCAAGTGGACAACCCAGCAGTTTCAGCAGTGTACCGGTGCGACTCAGATGCGGATGGAACTATATCAAGTGCCCAGGTCTGCCATGGAGGCCCAGAAGCTAATGATTGAAAGCCTGGTAAAAGTCGCTGTTCAGACGAGTGGACGTACACTCTCTGTAGATATAGACAAGAACTTTGGCGAATCTGCGATGACAGAAAGTTATGAGGATCTAGACAGGGACGCACTTGCCGAGAAGTACGACTCGGATCCTGAAGTCACCAGGAAGTGGATCTCAATACCATCACGTGCCGCATCGAAGATTAGAGAGTTTGAGCTGAACAAGGAGTTCCCGCCGCTAGCATCTAAAAAGGTGGTGGGTGGTACCATGCCATACTACAAACGAGTCGACAACAAAATCAGCTATTTCTCGAATGGAGTAACTACCACTGTGGCCGAGGGCGATCATATCAGCTCGATGGTGGGGAATCTCGTAAGAGTATCTGGGAAACAGGCGAGTATATTTAGTGTACTGGAGGGTGCCGCAAAGTATAGGTCTGCCTCTCGGCTGCGGCGGGCTTTTGGAACAACTGTGACGCAGCTGGATTTTGCTGGGGTGGAGTGTAAGTCGAATGGGAACTTCGCTGTGGCTAGGAAG